AACGCTATTATATTATTCAACAATCATTCAGAATTTAGATACAATAAAATCTAACAACATGTTCCTAAGTTTAAGCAGCAACCCATTAATAACTACCTCCTAAACTTAAGCAACACTCAAATAACAAATAACTAAAAATAAAAAGTCCTAAACCACGTCAACTAACATCTGGATCCATCCTCGGTACCCCACACATAGACTGCAGTCATGCATGCAGCAGAACCACGTAATTATTCCAGTCTGCATGCACCATTAATGTTCTGATATGATTTGCAGCAATCGACTACTTCAACTACCACTTGCCTGCTGGATAGGTTATGCTGACCACTCAACTTCTATATTATACACTCAATTATTGATGCACTACCTATATTCTCTTAGGAGCGGCAGGCTGCGTTCCCTCACTGCCAGACTCAGATGCAAAAACTCACATTCAACCCTTGCTTAGCTGCCTCGTGTCAGAAAATCATTTCTCGGAAGTTACCTTCCTCTCCGGCCATAATCCTTGGCCACCATTTCTTGTAATGTAAATTCCTAAGAAACACTTGTTTCTTTCTCACTCTGAAAACTAATCTGCAACTTTTTTTTACCTTTAATTTATATATAAAATTTAAATATTTATGGGATAATTATGAAATTATCCCCCCAATATTAGAAAAGTTATACTTTGTCCCCTCAAGTTCAAATGATGGCTCCCTCCCTAGCTTGAAGTGATGAGGGAGTTGGATTCTGATATATTAGCTCTACAAGATGTGAAAGCAGAGGAAGAGAAAGCAATGAAGCCTTTGTCTAATTTAGCTGTTGCTTTGGGGATGAAATATGTGTTTGCTGAGAGCTGGGCACCGAAATACGGTAGCACCGTGCTTTCCAAGTGGCCGATTAAGCGGTGGAAAGTGCACTAGATCTTTGATGATACAGATTGCAAGTCAGTTTCCTCTTCTCTTCATTATGATTCCTAACGATGCCAAAAGTGGTTCCATATAAGAAATCTACCAAGTTGTTTTGTAATTGCAATCTTCTTCTATATGAGATAACTTCCTGGAAATTTTATGTTACAACTGCTACCGAAAAATGCAGGACAGGTGAAGCCACGAAGGAGCAAGAGGGAAAGAAGAATTCCAACCTCCCTAACTGATTTTGTCCTATCTTAAGGAATAGACTATAAATAAGATGTGTTTGTAAGCCCTGGGCATGAAAAACCTGCACTTGTTTTCCCTTCTCTGAAATCTAATTCTCATTCTTCCTTCTCTCAATTTCTATTTTGTCCTTTCTTCCAATTTGTTCATAACAAATTGGTGCTTTCGTTACCCTTGTCATGGTGAATCATACTGAAGCCACTAAAACCCTTCAGGATACCTTAGCTCAACATGACAAGATTCTCACCTCGTTACAATCCCATGTCACGACCCAGGATCAATGAAACTCAACTACCCAGCTCACCCTCCAGGATAGGTCTACTCACCTACATGGCATTGCTACCCAGTTGAGAATCTCGACGACTTCATCCAGAGGTGGGGACGTTACCGTTGATAGCAGTGCAATTCGATGAAAGGCAAAGGTCCGCGGTGATTCGGAGGATGTTTTTCCTTTTGCTCCAAAGTCAGTTCAAGTGGAACTTCCTTTGTTTACTGGGAAGGATCCCGAAGAATGGTTAGCATCGGCCCATGATTTTTTTAGTTTTACAGTACGGAAGACCATCACCGCGTCACCATAGCTTCTTTCCGAATGGATGGCACGACGAAGAAATGGTTCTGGTGGAATTAACGCCAAAGGTAACTGGTCGGGTGGAACCACTTGGTTGATGCAATTCGAAGCGATTCACTGTTCTGGAAATTGAATCGTCGGCGGGACAATTATCCAAATTGACTCAAACAACAATTGTGGAGGATTATCAATCTCGGTTCGAGGATTTGACCTTACGTACTCATAATTTATCCGATGAGTTTTTATCTAACTGTTTTATTTTTTAGATTGCGCGCAGACATCAAGAATGAGGTGCTCAGTCACCGTCCTTCATCCATGATTGAAGTTCAGGCTCTTGCTCGATTACATGAAACTCGTTTACATGATCGACGTTAATTGGGTCGGCCCTCCTCCAACAAAATTCCACCATTGTTACCCACTCCCAAACTGGTTGTTAATTAATGGGCCTAAATTTCAACCGGGTCGCCCCTCCATTGGATCAACCCAATTCGACAGTTCCCTCTAGTCTGACCCCTCGTATTTCATCGGCTAAGGCTCAAGCATGCCGTGAAAAGGGGATGTGTTATTATTGTGATGCCAAGTATATGCTTGGGCATAAATGCAAAGACCCCCAATTATTTATTTTGGACGATGAAGGTATCGTTGATGTTCTAGTCTCACAGCCGTCGATTCTTATTGTTTCGGATAGAGATGACGTCGACGGTTATGGGCAGGATCACTCTTTGGTTTGCTTTAATCTTTTGGCAGGTGGGTTCAATTCGAGTACCATTAGAATGGTAGGGGATATTTCTGGTCATCAGATTCGAGTTCTAATCGACGGTGGCAGTACGCATAACTTTATCCAATCTTGCGTGGCCAAGCATTTGGGGCTTCCGATTACATGTACTCCCAATTTCAGGGTTATGGTGGGCTATGGACAGAAGGTACAGAATGAGGGTTGTATCAAGGATCTTCACTTACGTGTTCAAGGGACTGAAATTGTGACATATTTTTATGTACTTCCGTTAGAAGGTACTGAATTGGTACTTGGGGTTGCATATCTGGATACTTTGGGGCCGATCATGATGTATTTCTCCAAGTTGTCGTTTCAATTTCGTCAAGATTCCGTTGAAGTTTGTTGGTGGGGCGAGTCTAGTTCTGGACCTCAACAAGCTCAATTTCAATCGCTCCGTCGGATGGCTGAAACAAAAGCCATGGCCACGTGCTATTTGTTGTATTTCCAACAACCACCCCTTGATCGAACCTTAGGTTGAATCGCACGACATGACAGCTCTCTTGGATGAGTTTGGATCAGTGTTTGTTCCCCTCAGGGCCTTCCACCTGCTCGACAAAATGACCATGCCATACATCTTCAATCCGATGCGAAGCCATTCAACGTTCGTCCGTATCGTTACCCCTATTTCTAAAAAGGAGAAGTCGAACGCCAAGTTCAACAGATGTTAGATCAGAACTTAATTCTCTGTAGCACTAATCCGTTTTCTTCCCCCGTACTCCTTGTCAAAAAATAAAAAGGATGGCACGTGGCGGTTTTGTGTGGATTATCGACCATTAAACGCCGTTACAGTCAAGGACAAATTCTCTATTCCAACAGCTGATGACTTGTTTGATGAGTTAGGCAATTCCCAGTTTTTCTCGAAGCTCGATTTGTTTGTCGGCTACCACCAAATTCGAGTTCATGCTGTCGATGTTCACAAAACGGCATTTTTGAAATCACGAGGGCACTATGAATCTCGTCATGCCCTTCGGCTTGACCAATGCTCCGTCTACTTTTAAAGCTACGATGAATACTATTTTTTGCCTTTTTTTACGCAAATTTGTATTGATATTTCTTGATGATATACTCGTTTATAGTCGTTCTTGGCAGGATCATTTGGAGCATGTAAGGCAAGTTCTGTCACGCTTGCAAGAGGATTTTTTTGCTAAGCGCAGCAAATGCACTTTTAGGCAAACTTCAGCCGAGTATTTGGGGCATATCGTTTCAAGGGAGATATTAGTTGTTGACCCGACCAAGATCAAGGCGATACGTGCTTAGCCCACCCCCACAACAATTTGGGAGGTCCGGAGCTTTCTCGTTATTGCAGGGTATTATCGGTGCTTTATAAAATGTTTTGTCTCCATAGCAGCTCCGATTTCAGATTTGTTGCACAAGGGACAGTCTTTCGAATGGACTCCTGCGGCTCAAACAGCCTTGGATCTCCTTAAATTGTGTCTTTGCTCCGCACCAGTGTTGGCTCTGCCTCAATTTGATAAGGAATTTCAGGTAGAAACAGACGCATCAGGCGTCGGCATTGGCGTTGTTCTCACTCAGGAGGGTAAACCATTGGCCTGTTTTACTCAGAAATTGTGCCCTCGCTTGCAGAATTCCTCGGCCTATTCTCGCGAGATGTACGCGATAACACAAGCTGTGGGCAAATGGCAACAATATTTGGTGGGTCGTAAATTCAGTATCCTTATAGACTAACGAGCACTCCGTGAGTTAAACCAGCAGACCATACAAACACCGGAACAACAACGATGGCTCTCCATATTGGTTGGGTATGATTTCGACATCCACTATCATCAGGGGAGACACAATATCGTTGCCGATGCTGTCACGCGAAACTTTGGCTAGTTTCATGGCTCTCTTTCGGTCTGTTTTGGGCATTACTGAAGCAATCTGAGCTGCAATGCTCACCGATGAGGAAACACAATTGCTTCAATCCGATTTACAGCAAGGTTCCCCCGAATTAGTTGGCTATGATGATAGGGTTGGCTATGATGATAGGGATGGCTTGATTTTGTTTAAAGGTCGTGTTCTATTGCCTAAAGAGACAAAATTGCGCACTTTGCTTTTGCGTGAATTTTACAGTTGTGTTTTGGGTGGTTATGCTGGGATTACACGAACTTTCCATCGTCTTGCTGCTGGGTTTTATTAGAAAGGGATTCGTCAAGATATGCGTCGTTTTGTGCTCAATTGTCAAGACTCAAGAATGTCAATGGATGAAGAGTGTCAGTTTGTCGCCGACAGGTTTGCTTCAACCCCTTCCTATTCCTACCCAAGTATTTGAAGATATATCGATGGAGTTCATTGTGGGGCTGTAATGGTAAAGAAGCTATTTTGGTAGTCATGGATCACCTTACGAAATATGGTCATTTTTCTGCTTTGCCTCGCCATTTTGATGGTGCCTATATTGCTCGTATCTTTATGCAAAGTGTAGACACCCGTTTTTGTTTGGGATATAAATATTATATTATGATTATTATTATATTATATGATTATTATTATTATTTATTATTATTATTATTATTATTATTATTTATTACAACTATTTTTAGGCCCAATTAAAAAGCTCTAACAGAAGCCCAATGCCCAGATATAATCCCTTGTTACACGCCACCTCATGTAACAGATGGTCCAAGGTCTCCAAGGTCATTCGACACCAGCTCAAGCCAAATCACTGCTGAGCCATTCTCGCCACCAAATCTGCACCCAACAACAAAACATAAACAAGTCACATGCCAAAGTCAAAAATAAATTCCACCTACCCAAACCTAAACCCATCAAAATTTCACCAAATGCAAGGAAATTAAAGAAAAATGACAAGAGGCTTTCGGTGGAATGAAGGAAATAAAGGTGGAATGAAGGAAATAAAGGGAGTACAACTATCAACGAAAGAGAGGGAATTTTGGAAACGAGAGTTCACGAACAGCAGGGGGTTCGAACAAAAATCATCAACAACCATTCGAACAGGGGACAGCAAAGAAAAAACAGGAAATACGGATCAAAAGGAGAGCAAACCAAAAAGCATCAAGGGGAGGAAATCGATCGAAAAAAGAGAAATCATTTGTAACTAGGGTATTCTGAAGCCCACAAAAACAGTGTGTAATAGGGATTATTCCCTGTATTTTCCGAAAGCAATAGCAACTGATGAAGGTGATTTTCGTACTCATTTTCCTTTTGGTGTGATGTGTGGGTATGCTTTTGGTTTTGAAACGAACTAAATGAACAAAAGTATGGATTTCCATAAATAACATCATGCAATCATTTTTATCAAGAGCAAAAAGTTAATAGGTTAGAGTGTTTCGGTTACCTTGTTCGTCGACTCTCATCGGAGCGGAGGACCGGTTGTGTGAGATTCGAATAGCTTTCAGTAGAGAGGATTAGATCAAAGCAAATATAAAATAAAATAGAAGGGTAAGAGTTTTAGATCTAATTTACCTTGTGATGAGTAGGATCGTCGGGCTATAGCAGTTGAGAGGTCGGGGTTCTTGAACGATCTTCGTGTTTGCTTTCGCACTTTTGGGGTTTGGCTTAGGGTTTAGGCGAGGGAGGGGAGCTAGGTTCGGTCTTGCGGTTGTGAGTGAAGAAGGTGAGGTCTCAGCCTAGCGTGGGTGAGTGGTACTGCTCGCACAGAATTGGAGAGAAGATGTTGCAGGCTTTATTTTTTAGTTGAGTTTAGGTGAGTGGTCCCTTGTATATCTATATAATATTATCATTTTAAATATTATTTACAACTTTACAATATGTGTATATATTACTAAACATGGTTTGTTTGTTATGAAGGGATTACACGTTTATTCTCTTAGCATATATTAAATATTTTAGTACATCTATACATTTTTTTATATTTAAACGTAGTTGCTTTAAGTGTATCAGGTTGCTATTTTTATTAAACGTATGCGCATGTGTTTCCATATTATGTATTGAATTTTCCTTTACCATGTGGGAACATTATGATATATGTCAGTGCAATGTATAATTCATGTTCATCATTTTTCATATTACATGGCAGTTTGTAAATATCATGAATATATTGGTATTAAACATGTTCTAATTATTGTACTATATACTGTTTATATATTCTATGTTACATTGTAAATATAAATTATAAATCATATTACTAAATAAGCATATATAATTCTTACATAAGTATGTCGTTTTGCATAACTTTTTACAAATTCAAGTGATTTCTTTATTTTTTTTATATTAAATATATATAATTTAATCCTTATTTTAACATGAATGATTATTTTCTAAAATTTATATTTTAATTTGTTATGTTTTTGCATTTGAGTCATACTGGTGCATTACATATTAATATATATATGTTGGGTATAATGTGTGGTAATATAATATGTATGTAATTCTCTATGTTAAAATACCATTGCATTATATTTTAATCATAATATTGGTTTAATTAATTTTTACATGACATCATTTTTGTATGATTTTCATAATAGCCTCACGTGCATAACTCGATATTATTACATAATGGGATTAAGGGTATTACCCTTTTAATTTAAAATCGTTTTAAGTGGGTTGTCATAACGCATTCGATGTCCGCTTTTAACGATTTTAAAATAGAAGTGTATCCCATCAGTGACACCTAAGAAATTGATTTATTCACTTTAAAATTTGAGAATGTAAGAAAAAGAAATGTTCGACTATTTAAATTTATCGAGAAAATGTTTTTATAACTATTTAAGATATGGTCTCGACATTTTTAAATAATCGAACATTTTTTATCTTTCTAAAGGCTGGATAAATTTTAACTTAATCAATCTTAGTGCTTTGAAATAATATAAAATTCATGTGTTGTTATTTTGTCGGGGATCATAAACCAAATTAAACTCGAATTTGTAAATTTCATTGCAAAAACATTAATTAATCGACGAGGTACCGATATAGGGCGTTGTGGGGGTGCTAATCATTCCCTATGCGTAATCGACTCCCGAACTCACTTTCTGGTAACGTGGACTTAAATTTTTTGTTTTAATTAAATTAATTTTTATTTAAAATGACAACGTTTTTGGGTGTCCAATTACACCCTAGTCAAAGATTGGTGATGACTCCTCGAACCGTACGTTTTATCTTAAAAAAAAGAATCCCAAATTTTTTGAAACAAGAAGTTTTCTAAAATCACATCGATTTTAATTAAAATTCAATTGTAAAGAGAATAAATAAAAATGACGTGACTTTTCAAAATCTAGGTTCACCACTTAAAAATCGTTTCGACACAAAGAGTGGTCAAATTACATGGTATTCCACGTACCATTGTGAGCGACAGAGATAGTATTTTTTCTGAGTGCATTTTGGACATAATTGGCTAAATTACAAGGCACAGAGTTATGTTTCAGTTCGGCATTCCATCCCCAATCCGATGGTCAAACGGAACGTTAAATCGTTGTCTAGAGATGTATTTACGCTGTATGACGGGGGTGATCCTAGTAAATGGGAAAAATTTTAGCTTGGGAGGAGTATTAGTAAAACAGGGTGTTTCAAGCATCTGCTGATATGACACCGTTTCACGCGTTGTATGGTCATGAACCCCCTATATTTTTAGAGGTTGTTTATTTACTTCATAATGATTAAACGTTGAATCATTCAAATGTTGAATGATTCAGAGACTCTGTATAAATTAGTTCTGAATGTGACATGTTGTTTGATAATGACTCTAAATAATTCAGAATGTACTTCTGTGTTAAATCATTTAGTATTATTTTATTGAATCAGTCAGCACTAAATCATTTAGATGTGCGAAACAAATGCACTGAATGTTGAACGGTTCAGCATTCAGCACTAAATGATTACATTAAGAGGCAAACAAACGGGTCTTGCATATTTGAAAGGTAGTCCTTTTAACAAGCAGCTTGCTCAAGACCTCTTGGAAAGAGACGTACTTTTGCAACTCTTGAAACACAATTTGACAAAGACTCAGACTCGAATGAAAATTCAAGCAGACAGGCACCGTCGTGATCTGAAGTTGGCGGTTTGCAATTGGGCGTTTGTCAAATTACTGCCATACTGTCAATTGTCTTTGTGACTGCAGCGTCATCAGAAAATCGAGCCTCGTTTCTTTGGTCCTTACCAGGTACTCAAACAAATTGGGTCGATTGCTTACAAGCTTGACTTTCCAAGCTTGACAAGGATTCATCCCGTCTTACATATATCTCAACTCAAACCTTGCACTGGACAGATTCTACGGTAGATCACCTCTTTGCCGCTAATGCGTGAGAACATTTCGATTACCTCGGGTGCTTCAAACCTTGAGGACAAGGTTTCTTCTCCAGGTGGGGGTCATGTTACAGAGACTACCGAAAATGCAGGACATGTGGAGCCACGAAGGAGCAAGAGGGAAAGAAGAACTGCAACCTCCCTATCTGATTTTGTCCTATCTTAGGGAATAGACTATAAATAAGATGTGTTTGTAAGCCCTAGGCATGAAAAACCTGCACTTGTTTTCCCTTCTCTGAAATCTAAGTCTCGTTTTTCCTCTCAATTTCTATATTGTCCTTTCTTCCAATTTGTTCATAACATTTTATCCCACCAAGTAACATTGAATCTGTGGGAAATCTGGGAAAATAACCAAATTATGACAAAGATCAGTAGTTAAACTATAGTTGTTGGCATTAGTTCAAAGTGGAGAAGATTTAGTGTTATACGCTGTTGAGCTTGTTGTTAATAAATCATTGACATACACAGGACTAATGCAAAACAACTGAAATACTCTTAAATGTATGTAGTTCTTTCTTTGTTATCTATGCCCTATGAACAAAGCTTGAGAATTCCTTTTCTGAACGAGTCCGAAGAGATCGAAAGTTTCCGAACTCGATCTTATGCTGACCGGCTTGGGGTTTTCGATGATAGGAATGTCCTAAAGGCAACTATCGAAGTACCCGAGACTGGAGAAGTCAACTTCCATTGCACGCACACCCTGATCATCTTGGTGAGAATTGGCTCATGAAGCAGATAAATGCGATAATTCTATCGAATGACAGCCCACATATTTTAGCTGGAGGTCTCAATTCCTTGGAAGAAACAGATTGCTCCAACGAAAGTGGACGGATATCGTAAAGGTATATATATTATATGGGGACATTTTCCTGAACATTATCTGTCAGGATTTTGAAGTAACATCTTTCAAATGGACTTGTCTTTTTTGCAGTAGCATGAGGAGATGGGGAAACCGATACCAAAGGCTGAAGTGATGAAGTTTCTGAAGAACAAACACTATACTGATGCTAAGGACTTTGCAGGGGAATGTGAACCTGTGGTAGTGATTGCCAAACGCCAAAGTATGAAACCATTCTCTTTGAACTCTTCCCTTTAACATAACATGACACGATCCGATTCGATGCAGGTGTACAGGGAACGTGCAAGTACGGTACTCGGGTCAATTACATACTGGCATCACCGAATTCACCGTACAAGTTTGCTACGGGGTCTTATTCGGTCCTGTCATCGAAAGGGACTTCAGATCATCACATAGTAAAAGTCAAAATGATAAAAGTAAACGATAATGTCAAAGAAAACGTCGATAGAAAGCGACGATAACAAAAACAGAAACAAAACAGAAAGCTATAAAGATTACAAACAGTTCTCCATCGAAATGTATGTGGAAAACACATGCTACATGAGACGAAATTGACTTTCAAAATTTTCTTTTACCTTTTGTTATCAACTCTAGGGAGCAGATGATTTTGAATCTGGACCCTACTGTGCTCTGTATATCGTTAACAGCTTAAAAAAGAAGTTGGCATATGGTATGAAATTTATTTGGATAGATATTATTCGTGAAGATAAACCAATTGAATATATTTATGTTCGTTCGTTTATTAAATAGACAAAATTTTTGTTAATACTCGTTTATTTTTCTTAATAAACAAACGTTATAAAAACAATTCATCGAGCGCTTTGTTGATTTACAACCCTAACTGTTGTTACTCTGGAAGCACATTGTTGAAGCAAAACAAGTGTCACCGTTGACTGAGAGTAGAAAGTATGTGCAGAACGAGCATCACCTTTCTGCAAGCTCGCACTAGCATGAGCTGCATCAGTTGTGCAGCATCCCACCCATACTTTGTGTTGGACATAATGTGATTTGCTTGTTCAAATATGCCAACTTTTGGAGTCATGGCTCTCCCACCATTTTAGGTACCATACTACATTCATTAGACCATATTTTCGACCCAAACATCATTAATACATAATTCCCTACCTCTTAAACTCAAATTCAGCCTCCTTTTATCTGAAATCCGGCCCCAACCTAACCATCAACGGCCGCGGTGTCCATGAAAGAAAGAAACTATGTTGATGGTGGGAGGGCCAAGACTCCAATCTTTTATGATGTAATTCTTTTAAAAGTGTCTTCTAGTTTTAAGATAAATCAAATTAAATCATACTTCAGTTTTATTATTATTTATATTTAATATAATATATTAACCATCAGTTATGGATGTAAGGGACCTTGCCCTCCAACATTTTTTTCTCTCACTCAAATACATGTATTTAACACGCATGCATTTAATTTTTTAGATAAAATTTATATAACTTTTATGTTTCTCATTTAATTTGGTTTAATTTGTGATTAAATTGTTGCCACTTATGTAAAAGATATATTTTATATGATATGTTTTTGTAATGATGAATTCAAAAATGTTTTTAAAAGGAAACATTTG